ATAAACTACGAAACTATGCCGATGCAATTAGTGGTAGACAGGTAAAATGGTAAACGGATTTTACTACAGGGAGCTGGAATTTGTTGAATTCGGTTTTTCTGCACCTCAGAAAGCTCGACTAAGGTGCATTAATTATGTTCATTTTATATTTCTGAAAATGCCCGGTATTTCTTTTTTGTTACTGGTTTCTGTATAATTTTTCTTGTTAATGCAAATTATTCGAAATGGGCGTAGTTCCTCTGTATGAGTTACTCTGGGTAGTACAGGAAAACAATTAAAAACTAAAATATAGGGTGCTCCAGTTTCCACAGCCAAAACTTCAAGTAACGGTAAAGAATGGAAAACAATATGAGCTGACTGATTATAAACTGCGGGTTTCTATATTTAATGGAAATTTTGCAGACAATAACTGGCACCGATGTAGCACATTTTGGAATAAAAACTATTCTTTTTGTTTTCTCAATGGCATCTGTACTAACACGTTTATTATACGCTATTGCTTTTTCATCCAACAAATCATTTTTGGATTCTTCATTCAGTTCGACAGAAAAAGTTTATTTTCAATTTATCTGTACCTACAACTCAGTATTTTCAAGCAAAACATAAAAAATAGATGAATGATAGACAATCATTTAATGAAACTCTATCGTAATAAAATCACAAATCCAGTTCACAGATTCAGATTCATAAAACTAGATCATCTCGGGTTAAAACTGGAAGAGAATAAACTTTTTTTTGGTTTCAAGTATCAAATTCCATATCTTCTGCTGGTGAATTTCTTTGAATATTCTTTCTTTCTGATTATCTATTTATCGTATTCTGCTATGGACTTATTACTTCGTTTCTTAACATATGCCATACTCTGATCTATGGCTAGAGCTAAGATATATAGCTAAGCGAGCGGTTTATTTCCTTCTATATCCTTAATTTTTAAACTCTTAACTTTTCTCAGTCTTTTCCTTTTTCTTAAAAAAACTATTTTCTTCAAAATTCGGAAAAGCTAACTTTATTATTGCATTAGTATTTTTATTATTGCCGTGACATTTAATTAAATTATTAAACAAAAACTGAAGATAATTTGCGATATTTTAATTTATTTATAAATTGAAAAGTATATACCAGCAGTGTATATTATTTAGAAATGTTCCCAGACAGTCATAATAATAATCATCTAGCCAACTCCATAATTGTCCAGTCGTTAAGTAGTTAAATTATTATATGCAATAATACTCTTTTATAACATGTGCGATAACGCAATTGGCAAGTTTTTCCTTCCAGTCTTCGTCGTGTAATGTGCACAGATTGGCGTTGAGAAACGCATGGAATCTACTTTGCTCGCTTTTTCGTTAAGGCTAACTGGTTAATTACTTTTTAATATATTGTTTTAGTCTATTTTGTTTGGCTTCTTTCATAAATTGAGAACGTTTAATCGCCAGCTATTTATATCCAAGTATAATTCAGTAAAAGCAACAAAGAAATCCGACTGGGAGGATATCCTGTTACTTTATCGAAAGGAAAACCGAAATCCTTGAAGAAAATTAGCTTGGGTAGGTTGGTATACTGATTTGATGCAATTAAGGTACGCACGTTCATGTTTATTAGTTATACCGAGTTGCAATTAACCGCTAATAGACAGGTAGTATCTCAATAATTCTGGATAGATTATGCATGATGTCCGCAAATGGGTACGCAATAATTTAAATGGATAATCGATAACCAAAAATTAGAGTTTACGATTTGAGACAAGGAGATGACAATGAAATTAATTTTTCTAATTTCATAGACAACAAAAAGCCGAATTTCTACTACATGACCACCCCTGACTTGAGAGGTGGATCCGCCGCTCTTAATGTATGATATTCAAATTTCCCTTTCTGGGTCAAAATTACTCGAATTTCCTCACTTTTTTCACGCTCAATTCTCTATCCAATCAACACTTTTTTATGAAAACTACCAAATTTTCCATTTTGATTATTCACTTTCTAAAAAGGCCATTTAGTTCTCTCTGGAACGATGTAAAAATGAGCGTTCTTGCTCATTTTGCTTCCGAGATACGAGCAAAAAACGGCACGGAAAACGTGAAATTTTGGCATAATCTGGCACTTGAAAAAATAAATAAATGTCTGATATACAAATTTAGCTTTCTGGGTCAAAACTACTCGAATTTCCTCACTCATGTTGTTATGACTGAATCGAATTTTCAATTCTCTATCGAACGATGCCAAAACGAATTCTGGGGCTTGAAATACTTCGAAAAAAGCAGCGTCATGTTTGAGTCGATTTTGCATTTCAAAAAACAAGCACGCAAACCTAAAACTTCTTGAAATCAAGATTTTTATGAGAAAACTCCCAAGTTTTCCTTATCGGTGGTTCACTTTCTAAAAAGGTTATTTAGTTCTCTCTGGAATGATGTAAAAATAAACGTGTTCTTTTTATTGCAAAATCTTCTTTCGCATTTATAATTTTGGCCTGTATATGAGTTAAAGCCGGTTTTTATAACTTACGGGATGGTTTGAATACAGTGCAATAAAGAAACAAATAAAAGCCAGCATCCTACATTCACTTTTTGAGGTCGAAAGACGATCGTGTTCTTTATGTTCTAATAAGTATTCAACAAATCGCGTAATAATAGGCGTGATTATTTGTTAAGTTCTTTGCATTATAAATGGCGAAAAAACGGTGTAGGTCATTGGTAAAGTGCAAAATAATATTCCCAAGGAAAATAGATACAGTTAGATAAATGGGACACACCTATATGCAGTGAGCAGCCATTATAATCGTTTTTTTCTGTCTTTTTATTCTTACCTTCTGGTGTTTGGAATCAAGAATTTCTTCGCAGTAGAGACAAAAAACTGATTTGAGCCCTGCTGAATGTGTAGCTTTTTTATTAATTCTCGATGCATTTTCAAGTTTGCAGTTTTCTTCAAAATATGTAAGCAACTGTTGAAATTAGCATTTTTCCATCTCAATTTCAATGTTTCATTAATATTTATCGGGGGGCAATTTTGCATTACAAAATTGAATTCTACCCAGTAAACATAAATTATTTACACAATGCTGTAATTGAATTGCGACCACAAAACGTGAATAATCCGTTGACAGAGCCGACAATACGAGTGCGTCTCTTGGCAATATACAATTTCAATTTTTCTCATTAAAATGGCTGTTTTTAATGAAGATTATACTGAGAAGACGCCAGATATCAAATTAAGGCTTCAAAGAAATAAACAGCATGTGAAGAATAAATGACCCAGCTGCCAAGCCACCGCAGAACCGGACACAGTATCTTTGTATTAAGTTATTTTTTTGAGGCTTATGCGGATTATGTTACGGCCAGTTCTTTGAAAAGGTTTTTTCTGGTAAAAGCGTGTTTTAAGCTGCAGTAAGGTGAAAACAAACATACAAGCTGACTGTAGACCAGACACCTGGTGGTTCTGGTTAAAAATTATTGTAACAATATCGAAAACCCAAACTTATTGAATAAATTATAAGAATTTAGGACAAACCGAAATGACGTTATTTTTGCTATTTGTTTAGAAGCGGTTCTCAATTAATTCGGGTTCATTGATTTGATCAGATGGCCGGCCTACCCGAACCGTGTTATTATATCCAATAAAAGACAACATCATTAATTTCTCGTGATTGATGCAATAGCCGAAATTCGCATGGAATAGCACAGATATGCGGTCAAGAATCACACAATTTTTTTCGAACCGTGTCAATTGTGGCATCGAACAACTGTTGTTGTACCATCTTGAACGACTAGGCAACGTCAATGGCACAGCGTGAACAAATAATTAATTGTCGGCTTTGCTTAACTGTCCTTTGATTCATTAATTACAGCCGTAAAATTGCAGACTTAACAGATTGGAGAATTTAGGAAAAGATCCCATTGCGTCCGCAGGAAGTTGTTATGCTTCAAATGAGTTTGAAGAGACTGCTGGATAATGCAAAACTTATTCTAATTGTTTTTTAACCGAAATAAATGACTTGATCGGCGGACTGCAAATTTACTAAAACGCCATGGTATTTTAGAAAAACATTGCCAATTCCATTAATTATTTGCGAAACAGCCCACAATTTACCCAAGCCATTGAATAAATTTGTACAAGAAATGAATAGAGTTTTATTGCAAAAACGTGACAAGCCACACTTTGTTGATAACTGAATGAATAAGCCAAGGCGTTAAAACATGATCGTAATCCTAAATCTAAAACGTATTTTTTTGTCTTCATCTTGAATTGATGATACTTGAACTGTTTGGATTTCCAGATGATTTACCTCGGTAACTTTTGTTAAATGAAGTACTGAAGAAAAAAATGTAAGAAAAAACACACAGACACCACTTTGAATTACTTTAATTCCAAAGACGATATGAGCGATCTCATAACATCCGTCTCCCAATTCGTCATCTATCAGACTAACCCCGCCTAAAAGGGTTCCTACCATAGAGTAAGTAAAATAATTTTATATAATAAACTTATTTTACTTTCTCTATGGTTCCTACTCGGTATTCCCACACTTATCGCTATAACCTGACATATAAACAATCCGTGCCCTTATTTATGGGTTTCTCTGGAGTTTATGATTGCCCGAGTGTTTTGCTTATAGAGCACGAATCAATTATCGACAACACTTTTTTAGCATAAACCAATGAAGACCCGGACTTTTAAAAAGCGAACACTTCAAAACATATGCTTAGAAAGTACCAAGTCAAAATATCGACCTTTAGATTGTATGTATAATATATAAAGTCGCAATTAGCCCACCCACATGAATATGTTCGAAACATTGTAACTTAATTCCATTAACAATGTTTCAGTCAAACTGTTTTTGCACTCTTGACATCAATATTCAGTTTCTCTACCTGTGTGAGAGGTGTGATTTGTTTGTTTGAAGGATGATTTTCTTTGAATTGTCCATTCGCAGGAATTTCATATTGGCAATACCTGTTTTGTATTTTAAGTATCACTTTTTTGATTAAACCAATCTATTTTTAGATGATTTTAGCAAGTTGATTGTGGTAATCGCAAGATTGAAGCACACGTAAATTTCGCTCATCATAACGTTTCTGATAGGATCTCGTAAGCAGTCGAAACGGGAGGCAAATTGTAAAGAAATCGTTCATATTTCTCGAACGAATTGCAAACCAATTTTTCGCTACGAGTTTCCTTGAAACATTGAAAATGTTTTTCAAGTTACTGGTAATTTTTCTAGCAACCAAACAGTGTGTTTTGCAGATTAACAATTATTCTTTTTTATTTTTTCAGAATAACCGAAGCTCGACCATGGATGACTCCAGAAGGTTTTCCTGTGGAAGTCTGGTGGCGCGACGAACGTCCACAGTGGCAACGACCAAGCAAAATGATCTCCCAGTCGAAAATGTCTATAGTCAGAATAAAATTGCAACATTACAGTGGCAACTACGAGAAGTAATTTTTTTTTCTTTTTTCGGGTCGATTTCTTTAGATCTTTCGGTCTGTCCCAAGTTTTTTGGCAGTTTTTTGTGTTGCTTCTTTTCGCGCATTTGCCAAATCCATATTTTGTTTTTCCTTGATTCTTTCGTAGATAGACATATTTTGTATAGTATACTTTCAACGTGCTAAAAATCATAATTTGCATCAAGACTGAATATGCGCACCAAAAAAAATTAAACAGAACAAAAATATACAATCTTAAAACAATGCGCATCAAGCGTTGATTCCGATTGTGTAGTTAAAATAGTTAACAAAGCAAAGAGTATTAATTGTTAAGCACCACTAGATGGAACATTTCAGCAAAAAGTGTGTATTTCCATTTTCAGGTGGAAAAGAGCCGTGAACTGTACAAAGCCGTAATGAAGCAAGTAGTGACTTTCCTCGAAAAGGCGCACGTCAGCTTAGAGCATTTGGGTACCCGACTGAATAGGAAAAATTCGGTACCCAGATCGAAAAGCGAGCACTACATAGTTTCAGAGCACCACAATACTACACAAAGCCAAAAAGCTTTAGTGGAAGAACACATCGCGTCATGGTCAGTGATTGTTTTCTTGTTTGAAATCCAAGCTGTATAATTTTGCATTGTTTCAACAGGGCACAAAATAAGAAACAAGAGCACCATCCCGATGAAATCCCTCCGGAAAAACTTTCACAGGAAGCATTCCGCTTGATGAGAACCGCCCAGTCTCTATTGAGGACTCAAGAGCCGAACTTTGCCGGCTCAGATCAGGCCGAGGATCCGTCCGATATCGAGTTTCTGGCGCAGCTGGCTAAGGAGTTTCCTAGAAGTGATGAAAAACCCGAACGATCAAACAGCTTTAGCCTGACTCCGAAACTGGTCCAACCGGAACATGATCTGAAAATTTCTACTGCGATTAACAGGAAATTGTCTTTGCAACTGAATGGGCGTCGGAAGAATTCTCCATCTGAGCTAAATCGAGACTATTTAGGAAATACCGAATGTCACTCTTTGCCTCCAGTAATCGACAGACTGGAGTGTACAATCGAAGCGAATCCGCTAAGAAATTCGGGCAATGAATTTCTGGAAACCAATAGGAAGGATAAATCTCCAAGTTCTCCTGCTACTGCCAGCATTAGTTCAATGGAGGATGAAAGTGGATTTTCATCGATGAATTCCTTTCAGGACATTGGAGTGCCATTAATTAATTCTACTGCAGTAGGAGAGGTATTTTTTTGTATATGTCCATAATATTACCTCCTTATAACACTGAAACATTTTTTAAAGGTTTCTGCAAGAAGCATCCTTCTGAAAAGTATGCTTCACAACCAAACTGACTACACATTAATCCATAACGAGTTCGAGCATTGCCGTTCCTGGCAAGAGTCCACTATGACCACCTCATTGCTGCATTCTGAGCAGAGACGACATCAGAAAGGCCCATTAAAAACTAGTGACAGAATGTCTCCGTGTCCTGAGAAAAAGCAGCATAGCTTGAGCGATGTGAAGCTCTGGCAGAAGCCAGCTACGGTCCAGCCTGATTCTGCAAGCTTCTCTGAGTCTGGCAAAGCTGTAGAAGACTTGAAGAGTGTTGCTTCTTCTGCGAGTTTTCAAGGCAATCACAAGCGATGGCACTCTTCGCCCGATAAGAAGACTGCGTCATCTTCTTTGAAGGTTTTGTGGGTGTGATGTTCGACGGTGAACATTAATGGCTGATAATCATCTTTATCACCAGATGCCATGAAACTCGGACATGGTGCCTATCTAATTTATTTTCTCAAAAAAAAAAGACTGTGTAAATTGGAAAGTGTAACTCGGCCCTTTTGTAAATGACTGTGTAGTAGTAGAAAACTTTGGTTTTAATCACACGTACTTCTAAATAGTTAAAGTTCAAGAACATAGTATCCAGAAGGTTGTTAATGCACGTCTCACTATACTTGTACATTTAATTTATTTTTTTTAATTTGAATTTTATGTTTTTTATATTGAAAGTCGATACTTTGGTAAAGGACGATTTGTAGATACGTGTAAGCCAGTCAAATTAGTGTAGGAAAAAGTAACAGACTAAATGTTTTCTGCTTGCGAACCGGCGTTTGTCCAATGGTTTTTTCATTTATTAATTTTTTTATTGTATTTTTTGGGGTACAGTTGAATCAGAACGTGTCAGCAAAGCAATTTTGATTTTAGCCAAAAAATGTTTCCGTGTGTCAAGACGCGAAACATTAACGAATATGGAAATTAATCATGATTTAATTTTTATTAAATTAGACAAGTGTAATCTATTGGGCAATAAATGACTGTTGTCACAATAAGCGATAGTTTGTTTTAATTTCTTCTCAAAATTAGTTGTCAAAGAACGAAATCAGCAGCCGTTTAGCATTTAAGTTGCGGCTAAATACAGAGTGTTGACAGTCAGTTCTCGTAAACCGTAAGATATGTTTAAATTAAGCTAAAGTTGCGCATTTTGGTTCTTAACAAATTAGTGTTTTAAAAGTTGCAAAGTTTGGTTTACTTTCGGAAATTTCGAGTAAAACCGAAATTGTCCAAATTATTTAAAAAAAAGCCGAACTTATCTAAAGGGATATTTTAAAGTAATTACCACAATATTAGAAAATCCTTTTACTGTCTATAAGATTATAACAGAGAGTATTTGATAATAATACCAGTTCTGGAATTAAATCTTTAGCTTTGACCTAGGCCTGGGTAACACTGCGTTGAGTTGTTGCTGCTGTCTGAGTTATCGAGTTATAACTCATCGGTTAATGAGTTTTAATTCATTTTTTAAAGCTTTACGAGACCCGAGACTGGAATTTTCACACCTAAAAAAAAGGTCATCAATATTTTTTCTGTCTAACGTCTTATTATTTTGATCAAACAACTAAAAAAAGTCAACTAGATTTTCCCAGCAAGAACGTCGACGAGTTTTCCTGTAAAATCGATCTCTTAATTTTTTTTCCATAAAATATTTAGTTTGCCAGTATTTTACAGTAAAACGATAGGAAAAACTCGGCTTTTTGTTTAGAGACAGTATTGTTTAGAAATGTTGACCTAAAAGTGAAGAAACCCCAGATTCCAAGAATTTTACAAATAAAGGATTATAAATTTTCGCTTTTTCTATTGTCAGTATTTTAACTGAAAAATAATGCGTTTTTTGCGTAGAAAAAATTGCTTAATAGAAACCTTGTTAAAACTAGAATGACCCGAAAATTTAAAGGAACTTTAACAATCTTCAGAGCGATGAGGGCGGCGAGTTTTCCAAATA